AGCCGTTCGAATGGCGTCTCTCGAAAATCGAAATAAAGAGCCAGGAGCACTCCGGAAGAACTAGATGAGAAAGGGGCCAAAATGCCCTCTCCACAAACCCAAGGAGACATGAACCAAAACGGTTCAGAACCAGATGGACGTTCGAACTGTTCAGACTGGAAGTACTGGAAAACATACACCCAGTGAGTCTGATGATTAAGGGGGTGTGTTGAAAACAGGTAATCACCAGCCTCACAGTAAGTAGGTATCTGAATAGACTGTGAGGTACCTCAAGGGGGCACTACACGGTGCCTCATTTACTCTCCCTCCTTTTACATCGGTTCAGGTATAAATACAGGTAACCATTGGCTTAATAAACACTGACAAGATCCACCGTTCTCGGACGGCGTCTCTGTTAAACTCGGCTCGTCTTCTTAGTTACTCGTGAGCTTCGTTGAAGTTAACAGACTGTCCAGGCATTGAAATTGTTCACAATATGTTAATTATAATGCTACAGGTGAAAGTTAAATAACTAGTTTATTATTGTATCAGACCGCTTCCAGCGAAGGCGGGGTGTTCAGAATCTTTGTTCCCTGTAACCGTCTGACACACTGAGGGAGACAGTGTTCTTTCTCTTTACCACTTTCCACTTCTTCTGGACTTATATAAGCACTGCAACATCTGGAATGAACACTGGGTAACACCAACCTAAGTGTCCCGTGAATATCGAATAGTAGGTAGTGACGAAAACGCTCGAGTGCCCATACGACCGCTAATTGTTCCAGCTTCGTGGAATGATATCGTTGCTCGGATTGCGCTAGTTTTCGACTGATGGCGTATACCAATTTCGGTTTCTTTTCCACTCGTTGTATCAACATCGCTCCCAATCCTACCGTACTCGCGTCCGTATGTAACTCGAACTCTCGCTTCGGGTCGAATCTATCAAGAATTGGCTCTTGTGCCAGTTTCCGCTTCAGCTTCTTGAAGGCTTCCTCGCACGCACTCGACTACTCGAAGGGAACCTCTTTCCTCAGAAGCATCGTGAGCGGATTCGCTTTTGTCGCATAATGCACGACGAATCTGTTTGGAATGGAGCCAGTTTGGCACCAAGTTTTAAGTTTTCCCCGGTCCGTCACAGAATCTCAAGGCTACTGCGTAGCAAGTTCTTTTGTTCTTGTAATTAAGCAAAACTCCAGAAGTTATAATTGGCAGAGCAATTATATTTCACAATACCTGGAACTTATCCAGATGGGTGAGGGTTTTCCATACCTATATATATGCACCAATAAAGCTGGCTGAGTACCGAGAAGATCACGCAGACCTAGGTGCTCTGCCCCTGATTTGAACACCACTACAAGCGTGTGTGTTTCTTTCGTATCGGTCATTCCGTAAAGTATTAGTGTCCAGTAAACCACCCTCGGTCCACTGTGCTAGCAGCAGGAACCTGAGCCTTCGAAAATCTAACGAATCGTCTGAAGGAACTCGTCAACCCCAGGAATCTTCGTACCTCATGTACATTCCCTGGTCTCGGAAACTGCTCGACCGCCAATAATTTCTTCGTTCCTGGTCTGATCCCTTCCCTCGATATCTTGAATCCGAGGAATCGTACTGAGTTCATGAAAAATTTGCACTTGCTCAATCGGACAGTCATTCCCGCTTGCATTAAGGCCTCGAGCACGTTGTTTATCTGATTCAATTGTTCTTGAAAACCGTCTGCCGCTGTGATCAAATCGTCCAGGTATGGGTGCACCTGCTTCCCACCTGCCAATTCTCGAACCTTCATCATCGCTTCCCGAAATTTGGCTGGAGCTCCACTCAGTCCCATCATCATGACAACTGGGGAGAACTGGCCCTCCGTCGTCACGAATGCTGCTTTTTCAGCTGACTCTCGAGACATGCCAATTTGAAAGTATCCCCTAGCGAGATCAAACGTTGGATAGAACTCGCGACCTCCGACTTCGTCGATCAACGGATAATTGGACTTGACCGTTTGCGCGTTGAGTTTCCGATAATCGATTACCATCCTGAAACTTCCATCGGCTTTTCTGACCAACATCACCGGACTCGCATACGCCGAATGAGATTCTTCTATAATTCCCGATTCTTTCATCTGAGCCAGAATCTTTTTCAGCTCCTCTCGTTCCGCAATAGATAGTCGAAACGGCTTGCTCCGAACCGGTGCACTCTCAGGAATTTCATTTATCTCGAACTCTTCTCCCTTGGCTCGTCCCAACTCCTTCATTGTGGTTGCGACGACGTCCCTATAACTGTTGATGAGTCCCAATAGAGCATCTTTCCAATTTTGTGGAATGCTCTCGTTGACAATAATATCCTTCATCTCGATCGGACTCATTTCTTTCTTCTCGTCTTCTACTCCGATTGCCAGAACTCGCTGCCTCGATACTCGGAAATACTCCTCCTTGTTCCGATCCACCAGTTCCGCTCGTGCCAGAATCGTTCCAAGGCTCAAACCTATCTCGCAACGCCCACGATTCACGACCGGTATCAACACTCTGTCGTCCTGAATTTCGTACATCGTATCCG